GGGCACAGCTTAACTGACGGAACAATCAGTACATAACTCGCTTTCAACGACAAGGTGGGGGTTCGAATTCTTGTGAGAACCTACGACCAGATTTATTTGGTATGGAGCAATCACTTTGGAGGATAATCCCTTGTGCACAGAAGTGTACAGTTGGTGAGGGGAATCTGAGAACCAAATTGAGGCATATTTCGCGATTTATCTCCTCCAAGGTTCTAGGGGCAAGGGTCTTGAAGGTCCAAGATTTAGTCTAATAAAGTTGGGCTGTGTATCAAAAAAAAAAAATTGATAGGAAAGGCAATGTGGAAATTTCCTGTGGTTGATGTTTAGTTTGCACTGTTTGCCTAATATGGTCCCATTGGTGTCATGCCAATCAATGACATGATTGTAATTAGGAATCTAAAATATCACAACACGAAGAAAAGTCTTCCGATCTAGGAATTATAGAAAGAAAAAAAAAAAAAAAAAACACTTTTTTATTCGTATACTTATGCAATATGCATGAATATCTAACTATATTTTGAGTTTTTTTTAACGGGTCATAAGTCTCATTTTATTTTTGATAATTGACACAAAATGTTCTCATCATTTGTCTACATTGCGCATATCATCCCTAACGTTTCACTTTTGACATTTGAGCATTCAAATCGATTATTTTTTTGCATGAATTACACTTGTTGTCTCATTCCATTCATTTACTCCATCAAATGGTCTTGTGAAGTCCGTCGTGTGATTTGTCCAATAACATTTTGTTCAAGACACTAATTGAAAATCTTTTCCAGATTAATCCTAGTCATTCTAAATAGTAACATTGTATGCCATCAATTTCGTCGTCTAACTATTCTGAAATGTCAACTTGGTCCTCCAACTATTCAGGAATATTATATTGGTCCTCTTACCATGGAGAAGAATAATGTTCGTTCTCCAACTATCCAAAATGAACAAATTGGTCATCAATCTATCATGTAGCATCAAGTTGGTCCTCCAACCATTCGGAAATATTATATGTAGAAAAGTCGAGTATGCTGAGCAAATATCAAGTTTGCTGGCACATCTCGAGTTTATTGTGGAGCGTGTGAGAAAATTAGTACCTAGCAAACTCGATATCTGTCCAACATAATAAACGTATAATTTATACACATAATATTACCATTTTGGAATGACTAGATTAAGCAGGAAAGATGGCCAATTATTGTCTTAGCCAAAATGCCATAGGGTAAATCATGTGAGTTGACTGCACGCGATCAATTGACAGACAAATGGACGTAATGCGATCGCAAGGATGATTTGACCAAGGAATGACTGATAGAACTTCTAAGAGTTAAAATGCCAGAGTGAAATGATTTACACGTTAAAGACAAACGATAGTGGAGTTATGAATTTTGTAACATTGGAGAAGTTAATATCTATTTGAAGAGTGAGAAAATCTATCGTCGATTTTATTATCCTACAAATATACGAATCATGACAAGTAATAAAGTATACATAAGTTCAAGTATCAATCACATGAGAAATAAGTACTTAGTTTAGTTTCCAATTAACCTAACTCTTATCGAGTGTAAAGATTGATGTTGTGGTGATTATTAATAATATAAATCTATAACTAATTTAATTAACCTAATTTAAGTGGTAAGAAACGTTTTGATTACCTAATTAGTTATTAAAATACTAGGATCATGTATCTCCTTACATTCATTCATCTTAACATCAACTCCATAATTTGACAATAATTACTTAGCCCTTGTATGAGCACCATCTTTTGAGGGGAAATGTATTTTGGAATAGTAATATTTTGGAAAATATGTAGTTAAAAAGAAATAAAAATTATTTATCGGAAAATTATTTTATGGGAAAATGTGTGATTGAAAATGAATTTTCAAAAAACGAGGCTCAAACATGGGCTTAATATGAATATTAATGCTCATATCATGTTCAATAGTCCCTCCTGAAATCAATCGACTCGAGAATATCCCTATCCGGGATTCAAATGTGCAAAGACGTATTAAAAATAAAAATAAAAAATCAATTGGATCATGCAAAAGTTAGTCAGTTATTCCTAACATCTATTTAACTCTACAATAAATTTTATCACATGTTATCTTTACTATTCCTTCTTCCGAAGGCTAATATGAATCGTACATCAATTCAATTAGTTGTCAATTGAAAACGTAAAAAAGCGTAATAAACATTCAACTTCAAACAATTGTCATATTAAAATATCAAAACATGGAGTTCAACATTATCCAAGCATGTAAACAACTAGCCAAACATCATAATATTAGGATTTCGGAAGAAAGATAGAACGTGATTTGAATCTTGAATTCCTTCAATGATTCTTGATTACTCTCTCCTTTAATCTTCTTCTTCTTCAATAATCCCAATTTATTAGTGTAGAAATATGTAGGAAAGTGCCTTGTATCAAAACCTTCTTCAAAGCTTTACAAGAAATAATGATTTGGTCTCCAATCTTGCTCTCTAGTCTCCACTCTTTTTTGTAGATGAATGTACATATTTATAGGACAAGATTTAGGTCAAATTCGTACCTTAGGAAGTATCCATAAATTGTTTGATAGGGGGAAACAAATTTATTCCAGGACCAAACTATGCGATCGTACGAGTACGCACAGTTTACAAACTCTGGGACTGCCCAGCAATTATAGTTATTGTGTTTTAGGGATTTGCAATTGCAGACCCAAGCTTTTCTACGATGTACACTTTGATCCTCGAATTTTCTTCTTTGTAATCTTGGTCCTTATCTTTAAATCACTCTAATTTAGGGACTGCCCAGCAATTCTAGTTATTGTGTTTTAGGGATTTGCGATTGCAACCCCAAGCTTTTCTATGATGTACACTTTGATCCTCGGATCTTCTTCTTTGTAATCTTGGTCCTTATCTTAAATCACTCTAATTTAGTCCTCAACATTCCTCAATTGTCCATAGTCGATCCGATGCAAGTTTTGAAAGTTTGTAATTCAATTCCTAAATTTTCCATATGTTGGATTTTACTCCCAAAACTTGTGAATCACTTCTAATTACTCCCATAAGTTTTCCAATTTGTCAATTGTTGGTTGATCATCACTTGCTCTAAATCAACTCTAATTTAGTTCCAATTTCGTATTTTTCATGCCAATTGAATCCAAGTTGGGGTTTTGACTAATTGACATATTTACTCTTAAATTATATAGATATCCGCTCAATTAATCATAAATAAGCTAGACTCCCTAATTAAGCATTTATTTGACAACCATTATTTGAAATTTTTTTCTACAAACTCATTTTCAACCATACAATTACACAGTAAAATATTTTGTACGTAAACACAAAAAATTTCCCTATTTAACATCATTTTCTTCTTTACAATCTTGGTCCTTATCTTTAAATCACTCTAGCTTAGTCCTCAACTTTCCTCAATTGTCCATAGTTGATCCGATGCAAGTTTCGAAAGTTTGCAATTAAGTTCCTAAACTTTCCATATGTTGGATTTAACTCCCAAAACTTGTGAATCACTTCTAATTACTCCCATAAGTTTTCCAATTTGTCAATTGTTGGTTGATCTTCACTTGCTCCGAATCAACTCTATATTAGTTCCAATTTCACATTTTTCATGCCAATTGCATCCAAAACAGGGTTTTGACTATAATTGAAATACTTACACTTAAACTTTATACATATCTGCTCAATTAATCATAAATAAGTAAGATTCCCTAATTAAGCCCTTATCTGACAACCATTATTTGAATTTTTTTCTACACTCTCATGTTCAACTATACATTTACATAGTAGAATATTTTGCATGTATACTCAAAACTTTTCCCTATTTTTTAACCATACATTTTTCCTAAAAATCACTATTTAAAAATATTGTTTTTTCCAAATAATGGCCATAAAATAGGGCTAAGTTCTTAATATATACACTCATGACAATCCACTGTGACTTCTTGTTTAAAAGGGAACACCCAACATGGCAGCTGCACAAAGCACAAAATAACAAATTCGGTTCCTTATTGCAGAATTTAGTATCTTGATAATGAAGCTAGGAAAATTTTGGCTATGGTTTTTTATGGTGGTTTCGTTAAATGAATGGTCTTGTTTTGGGTGTTGGGAGGAGGAGAGGAGTGCTCTTTTGCAGCTCAAAGAAAACATAAACTTCCCAGATGGAAAATCCCTCTCGTCATGGATCGTTAATGAGACTGCAGCTGACTGTTGTCAGTGGCAAGGAGTTGAATGCAGCAGCGAGAGCAGACAAGTGATCCTTGGACTAGGGACCTAAAATTAGGAGATTGGCATTTTAATGCCTTTCTGTTTCTTCCCTTTGAAGATCTCCAAACTCTCTCGTTTTGATCGAATAACTTAGTAGGCTGGATTGAGAATGAAGGTCTGCTGTTAACTCTACTGGTCTACTTTTAGAATTTCTATTGATCTCAAAACTCTCTCGTTGTGGGATTTTTCTTTTAACAGAGGAATGTTGTATGTTGTTGGCAGGTTTTGACAGACTGTCGAAGTTGAGAGATTTGGAGGTCCTTGGTCTTGGTGAAAATTCATTTAATCGCAGCATTTCGGCATCTCTTAGTCTACTACCCTCTCTCTAGAATTTGAACCTCAGATACAGTTTTTTGCCTGGAAAAACTTGTACCGACAGTAAGTTCAAAGGTTAAATGTATTTCATTAGGCAGCCTGTATGGTGGTTCACTACCTCCTTATTTACTGAAGAAGCTCTCTAATTCTCAAAACCAAAGAATATACCATCAGGAAACAAATAACAAAAACTTCTCTTGCTTCTTGTTGAAACAATGTATCAGTTTAATAATTATTTTCACTGTGCAGGCTCAGAATTAAGCAAGTTGGAAATCCTTGATTTCACTCCTTATTCCGTTAATGACAGCGATGTTCTGCCGGTATTAAGACAGTAAGACTTTCTCTTTAGATACGCCAAACAACAGCTTGCCTCATATAAGAGTAAGCTTTTTGGTGAACTACTAATCCGCTGTCACAGATTTGAATGATTTTAACAGTTTGAAGGAGTTTGATATAAGTGGAGACCAATTCCGAAGCTTTGGAACCGCACCATCTTTTCATAAACATCTTCATACATGATGTTTATCGATCATTCCTTTTTATTTTTGTTTCATTTTTTCCATTTTATGGATGTTTGGTAAGTCAGAATGTCGGATTGTATTGTACGTGACAATACTAAATGAAATTAAAAAGAACTAAACTCGAGTCCATTTTAATGTGCAGTACAATCTAATACTATGTACCAAACATGAACATATAGTTATTTCTGTGATAAATCAACTTGTTTGGGTTTTTTGGATACAAACAGGATACAAACAGGACTGAAAAATCTGAAGCTCCTTAGTTTACATGCCAACGACTTCAACAACAGCATTTTTTCCTCACTTCAAGGGCTATCGTCACTCAAATATCTAGGTCTCTCTAGAAATAAAATAAAAGGATCAATTCAAATGAATGGTTAGTTCTACAATCTTCTTCCTTTTTTCTCTGTTTTTCCTAAGTCATTTTGAATTATAATTTTTTGCACTCCCTCAAGACAGGTCTTCCATTTCACTTTTATATGTTTATTCTCTTCTTGCCAAGAATTGCATGCCTTGAGCAATTTTGTTGAGCTGGAACTAAGTTATAATGAGGTTGATAACTTCACCGCTTCTGAAGGTATTCAACAAGATCTTTTTGTTTTCAATTTGCCTTTTTAAGTGCATGTTTGGTACGCAGTATTAGACATATGACTGGACACTATACAAACAAGATTTTAGTTTCTTTTTCTTCATAACACTGTCCAGTACTAGACAAGTGTCCCTACAAACAAACTTTAATGGGCTTAAGCTCTAGTGTCGCTCAAGAGTTTATATGTTTTCCCTGTTACAACATTCCCACCATGTCAGGCATCAAAAGTATGTTTCGCTTCGAGACACTATATTTAGACGGCATCAAATCCAAGGTTAGTAACATGAAACAATCTTTGACGGCGTTCTCAAACATCAAGAAACTCTACTTCCGATACATTACATTAGAGGGAATGCTTGTAACTTACGGTAATCTAGAGTTTTTATTAACCATCTTACGAGGAACATTTAACTCCAATGTCAAGTACATTTTATGGTAATCTAGAGTTTTCATTAACCATCTTATGTGGAACATTTAACTCCAATGTCAAGTACATTTTATTGATTTTTATGTTGTTGTTATGTGTTTGGATTAGCATTGAAGCATGTAAGCCAGTTGGAGGGATTGTACTTGGACTATTCTTCTGTGGATGCAAGCTTTCTTCAAAGCATTGGAGTAATGACTTCTTTGAAATTTTTAACTTTGTCCGAATGTGAAATCAATGGCACCCTTCCAGCCCAAGGTAAACTTCTCGTGCCCGTCTATGGTTTAAGCATGCTGACTAATGAATTCTTTTTGCATTTGTCTCTTCAGTTATATCTTCTTCTTCCTTCTTACTCTTTTTTTTTTTTTTT